TGCTATCTTAGGCCCAATCCCCCAGGGAGCTGGCCTAAGTCATCCCCTGAGGGGTCCCAGACTGCGAGAGGGCACAGGTCGGGCTGAGGGACTCCCCTCTCCGCTCTGAGTGCACAAATTTTTGTGCACCGGGCCTCTAGTAATAGAATAAAACTATAAATATTAAAAATGCCTATTGGAAAAAGAATGAAGTTAAAATTTAATATACTCAAATGACACAATGTAATAACACATTGAAAATAAATCGATGATAGCTACCCACAATAACAAGTATAAAATGCAGTATATTCATATTAAGTAAATAAGAAGTTTCATAAGCCTGCTACCTTCTTGTTGAACTTTAAAACAATTAAAATGAAAAAATTTCTTATTTATGCATATACATTAAGTTTAAATGATTAAAAATTTAGAAAAAAGATTCATATTGCTGTCATTCAGTGTATTTATATATGAGAAAATTACCATATAATGCATTGGTTCTCAAGTATTATTCGTATAAGAATTTCCTGAGGATCTTGATAAAATGCCAAATTCCAGGGCTTATTTCTGGTTGTTTTCTGATTCGTCTGTTCTGGGATAAGGCAGAAAATCCTACAACTGTAAAAACCTGTCTAGACAATTCTAATGCAGATAGCACTCAGTTACTACCTTGAAAAACATAAAGAGGACCAAAGAATATGCCACCCAATAGACCAAGAAGTTCTTTGTAACTGGATAAATTTATTAATCTAATGCATGCAAGCCAGGTTCTAGGCATCTCTAACCCACCTCATTATAATCTGGGCAGATCTAAGAAAATATAAATGGATTCACCACAATTTCTAGCATCAAATTTAATTCTGAAGTTCAGAAGGGAAGTTCTGTTAAAATTAGAGAAAGTTCTGAGGGGTTTATACTAGGATCTTGTAATTCCCTGGACACTGGTGAATCAGTCCCTTTTCCACAAACTTCAAAGACGAATACAGAAGTGAAATATAAGCCAGCATTGGCCATCAATCATGAAATATGTTATCATAGAGGTGAAGTCGAAGATCAATTGGGACATGTCTAATTTCCTCTTTTGAGGGTTAAGATTTCACAGAGGAGGTAAATCTTGAACAAGATTCATAAGATGAATGGTAACTTTACTCTCCTAAACTAGAAGAAAAAGCAAAGGAAAATGAAGGCACATGAGATACAGGACACCCAATGCAAAGACCTCTGCATGGCAAAGACCCCAAAGTAAAAATCAGCTGGGCACTGGGCCCACTTTAGAAACCTCAGTGCTTAACTCAGCCCTCTGCCTAAGCTCACCACCCTGTTGTGTTGAAATCTGGGAACACCTCAGAACAGGTGCCACTTCCCTAGAACTTAGCAGCATTGAGCATGGCTTCCCAATTTGTTAAAATGTGAATGAACTAAATCAAAATTAATTTCTGTTATTAGCTCATAGAAGAATTATCTGATAGTTGCACTGCCTTGTTTTTCTTTGTTTGCTGAAGTTAAACACGGGAGTGTTTTGAAGTCGTTTGGGGGGAACATTCCTATCTTATTGCTTCAAAGTTAATTTGATATGACTTAGATACTGCCCAAAGCCAGGGGAGGGTAAATAAACCTTTAGATACACTAGAGTTTTTTCCTGTGTATGAGTCCAACGAACCCTACCAATTCCTTCACCCTTAAAGAGATGAAATAGTGTTACAGAGCTCAGAGAAAGCTCCCCATGGAGCCTGTGCCCACATGCTGTCTTCTCTTTATGTTCTACCGTTTGTTCACTGGTGACCCATCTGAGGAAGCCAGGGCATACTGTCCTGGGCAAGACAGATGGAGACAGACACTGTAAATGTAAGTTTTATTATTTTTGTCCTTTCCACTTTTTTTGCTTGAAAGCTTTATTTGAAGAGAGAAAAAGATGTGTAGCAATAAACTGATTTGGGGTTTGGTTCTGAGTTTATTTTCTAACTTCATTTATAAAAAGGATGTAGAGCACGCAGCCAATTACTGAAGCCCTGGAGGAGGAGGTCCTGAGGTAGCAGTAAACACTAAACTGCTGGGAAGTAAGATAGCTGAAAGAATCTTAGAATCCACCTCAGAAGACAGCTCCCTTCTTAGTGCATCAAAGGCAGGGAGAAAGGCAAAGGGGATATACTCACTACTTAGAAAGAGCCTAATAATCCCAAGGTCACGCCAGGTCAGGGCTCTTCATTTCTGGATCAGTAAAAGTGACCTTACATTTCTGTTTTTCGTAGGCAGTCCTGTTAACTTCTATTGTTCCTGCATAATTATTCATGGTATCCCTTTCAGCTCTCAAAGGTGTCCCAATGTGGGTCGTACATCATATGGTCATTTTAAGAATAAATAGTAGCAATAACAGCTAATATTCATTGAGCATCTATGTGCCAGGGCCTGCGGAGGAGTTCTGGCTCAACCACAGTGAGATATCACCTCATGCCTGTTAGAATGGCTATCGTCAAAAAGAAAATAAATAACAGAAGCTGGCGAAGATGTGAAGAAAAGGAAACCTTTGTGCACTGTTGGTGGAAATGTAAATTGGTGCAACCACTGTGGAAAACAATATAGTTCCTCAAAGAAATTAAAAGTGGAACCACCATATGATCTAGCAATTCTCGTTCTCGGTATTTATCCAAAAGAAACAAAATCACTGTCCCAAGAAACATATGCACCCCCCTGCTCATTGCAGCATTATTCACAATAGCCAAGACATGGAAACAACTTGTGTCCATCCATATATATATGGCTAAGTGTCTGTCCTTCCCTCCGACCAGTACCTATGATGCACAATAACCACCAAGGGGCAGGTGCTCAACGCAGAAGCTGCCATGATGCTCACTGGCCGTAAACAGCATCGCCCTAACCAGTTTGGCTTGGTGGATAGAGCTTTGGCCTGCAGACTGAAGAGTGCCAAGTTTGATTCTGGTCAAGGGCATGTACCTTTGTTGCGGGCACATCCCCAGTAGGAGGTATGCAGGAGGTAGCTGATCGATGTTTCTAACTCTCTATCCCTCTTCCTTCCTCTCTGTAAAAAATCAATAAAATATATTTTAAAAACAAATAAAATAGCCAAACCGTTTTGGCTCAGTGGCAGCGTTGGGCAAACTACGGCCCTCGGGCCAGATCCGGCCCATTTGAAATGAATAAAACTAAAAAAAAGACTGTACCCTTTTATGTAATGATGTTTACTTTGAATTTATATTAGTTCACACAAACACTCCATCCATGCTTTTGTTCCGGCCCTCCGGTCCAGATTAAGAACCCATTGTGGCCCTCGAGTCAAAAAGTTTGCCCACCCCTGGGCTAGAGCGTCAGCCTGCGGACTGAAGGGTCCCAGGTTCGATTCTGGTCAAGGGCATGTACCTTGGTTGCGGGCACATCCCCAGTGGGGGGCGTGCAGGATGCAGCTGATCTCTCTCTCTCATCGTTGTTTCTGGCTCTCTATCCCTCTCCCTTCTTCTCTGTAAAACATCAATAAAATATTAAAAAATAAATAAGTAAATAAAAACAAATAAAATTACAAACTAATAAATAAACGGCATCACGGACTTGACGCCAACAAACCAACACTTAGCTTCCTCCCAGTGGGACACAGGCCCTGCCACCACTCTGGAGCGACAACTCACCAAATCACAGCCAATGCTGCAAGACCCCATGGTGAAAAATGTAGCCCACAGCCCAGCCCAGTCCAGCCCAGAAATGGTCACTGTGGGTGCTGGGTAATGACGTCTCTTACTAACATCCAGCTTCCTCTCCCTAGTGACTAGGTTCCTTGGAGTTTCTTCAGCCCAGGAACGTGACTTGCTTTATAGTCAGGTGCAAACTTTTACAGTTCAACCAAATGTTTGTGAAGCGTTTTCCCATGCCTCATCTCATCTGATCCTCACAGAAGTCCTGGAGTAGGTATATAGGACACTCAGTAGAATCCTTTTCTCTTTTCATTAGCCAGAATACAGAGATTCAGAAAGTTTAGAAACTTGACCCGACTGAAAAGAAGTAAGAAATGGTGGACCTTGAAAATGTCTTTAGGTTTTTTCACTGTGCAGAATATAGTCAAACACTGCTACAGTTAAGTATTTTACCCTTTTTGCTCCCTGCGTGATCTACAATAATAATCTGCTTCATGTTGATATTTACTTCTGTGTTTCTGACAATTACTTGGGGCTGGAAAAAGTTTAGCTACATCAGAAAGCAGGTCTAATTAAGCAAGTTTATTGTATATCTGTAAAGGCTAAGAGGACTCGAGCATGCGTGATACATATAAATCTCTCACTGGCACCAATCACAGGCATGTGTTTTGATCTGTCATTATCGGTTGTGAATTTAGTTGACTCTTCTATTACAGAAAAAGGGCAAATAGTGATATTAAAATATTCCTTCTAATTAATTTTCTTTCAATGTGCACGAATCCATGCACCGGGACACTAGTTGATAAATAAATGGATTAAGAATTTGTGATACACACATACAAAGACACACACACATATTTTATTCATCTGTAAAAAGCAGGAAGTTCTGCCATTTGCTACAGAATGGAACTTGAGGGTATTATGCTAAGTGAAAGATAAATGCTATATGAATTTATTTATATGTAGAATATTTTTAAAAATTCATACACTAGAAACAGAGATCAGATACTAGTAAGTTGTTGCCAGAGGTGGAGGTGTGAGGCGTGGAGGAATTACAAGAAGGTGGTAAAAAGGTACAAACTTCCAGTTATAACACAAATAAGTTCAAGGGATGTACTGTATAACTTGACTATACTTAACAATACTGTGTTGTATATTTGGAAGTTGCTGAAAAAGTAAATCTTAAAAGTTCTCATCACAAGAAAAAAGTAACTATATGAGGTAATAAATGTTATCTAATTTTGTTGTATTAATCACTTTGCAATATATACATATGTCACATCATCACATTGTATACCCTTCAACTTATAATATGATGTTATATGTCAATCATATCTTAATAAAACTGGAAAAAAAGTTTGACTCAGTTAATCCTCCATTTTATGTCCAACAACTTGTGAAGTAGATACTATTTTGATCTTCTCTCACTTTTTTTTTCCCACAAGTGAGAAAAATGAGGCACTGAGAGGTTGAGTGACTTGCTTAAGGTCACAGAGCTAACAAGTGGAGGATCCTGGATTAAATCCCAGTAGTAGGCTCCCAAACTCATACTTCTATGTACTACTCATGCTGCCTTTCAAGCATGAGGTGTGTACAAAGCAATGTCCCTCAACTATGAGACCATTAGGGATATATTATTATTTTCCCCATTTTACAAATGAGAACACTGAAAGACACAGAGATAATTTCTTTTTAAATATATTTTTATTGATTTCAGAGAGGAAGGAGAGGGAGAGATAGAAACATCAATGATGAGAGATAATCATTGATCGGCTGCCTCCTGCACACCCACTACTGGGGATTAAGCCCGCAACCCCGGCATGTGGCCCTGACCAGAATCAAACCCAGGACGCTTCCGTCTGCAGGCCAATGGTCTATCCACAGAGCCAAACCGGCTAGGGCATAATAGGTTTTCTAAGGTCATAAACTCAAGCAGCCTGTTTGCAAAGTCTGTGTTCTTTACCTCCATTCTATATTCCTCCCTGAAATATTTCAGAAATTAGAGGCCCAAGGGGAGAATGGAATTTTCACATCAGACATGAACAGAACACTCTCACTCTGAAGAGGAAAATGAGAAATCACAATAGAAGCCTCATCCTTTTGTGAGAGAGCACATACTGCTGCATTTTTCACAGTTATGTTTCAGGTGGTTCAGTGAGAAAACTTTGATGCTCTTTGTTATAATAAATTTGGACCTTAGGCAAATAAGTTGTTTTAGAGCCTTTGTCTTTTCCTATGTGAAAACAGAGGCAAAGCTAGGGAAATGATATCGTCACTATAAAAAGTCTCCAAGCCTGTGGGTATCCCATGGGGTTTGCCTCTAAGAATCTTAACTTTGTCAATTAGTTTATCAGTACCTCAACCTGGAATAGCAATAGCAAGGGGGGTAGCCTCTTCTCTCAGCTATAACTAGCCTCTAATGCCTGAAACCTACTGTATACAGAGCACAACAGTGGTCATTAGCTGTATGTAATATGTGATCCGTTAAATCAGTGGTCCTCAACCTCCCTAATGCCGGGACCCTTTAATACAGTTCCTCATCTTTTGGTGACCCCCAATTTCATTGTTACAAATTGAACATAAATAAAGCATAGTGATTAATCACAAAAACAATATATAATTATATATGTGTTTTCCGATGGTCTTAGGCGACCCCTGTGAAAGGTTCGTTCAACCCCCAAAGGGGTCGTGACCCACAGGTTGAGAACCGCTGCATTAAATTTACAAGTTAGAAATGCAAAATAGTAACATATTCCTTCAGACTTTTCCTTGCCCACCAGCACCTCATATTCTGCGTGTTGTCAGATTAGTCATAGCCTGCCAATTAGGCTAAGGAAGTTTAACCCCAAGAGCTGTTCAACCTCTTTTTTGTAATGCTCGCTCATTATTTCCTGCAGGGAAGCAAAACAACAAACCAAAAGCAGAATGCATGAAAAAACAAGGAGCAGACTGTGGGGACATGTAGAAACACACATGTGTATGCACATACTATGTACTACACACTGCAAATCATCTGAAAGGTGCCATATTTTGTCAAATTTGAAGAAAGTTAAATGAATAATTTAATTTGTGCTATAAGAAGTATTCATGTGAAAGCCAAATAGGAAGATTTATTTTATTTAATATTGACATTGTCACCAAAAAAGTCAGCTTGTGGTCCTCTCTCACATCTATAATAACTGTACGGTAACAGATGGTATACTAGACTTATTTTGGTAATTACTTTGTAAGGTATACAAGTGTTGAATTACTATGTTGTACATTTGAAACTAATATAACATTAAATGTCAACTATAATTTAAAAATAAAATAAAACTGCCCTGGTCAGTGTGGCTCAAATTGGTTGAGTGTCACCCTATGCACCCAAAGCTTGCTGATTCAATTCCTGGTCAGAGCACAGACCCAGGTTGTGGGTTTGATTCCCGTTCATTAGGATGCAGACAGGAGGCAACCAATCAATATTTCTCACATCAATGTTTCTCTCTCTCCATTGCAGTACCATTGGATGCGGACAGTGGGGTGGCAAAGGCCTGTGGTAGGGTGGGAACCAGGTGGAGGGGAGCTATCGGGAGGAAAAAAGAGGGACATCTGTAATAATCTAAACAATAAAGATTAAAAAATATATTAAAAATAAACTAAAAAAATAAGGCAGACTAGAAAAAGTAAGTAAATAAACAGACAAATAAATAAATACTTGTTGAATGAAAAAAGACAGTCAGCATGTGGTCCCCTCTCATATGTGATCAGTGACTGCAGGTTTCAGAGTAGAAATAGCTCACCTACCTTTATACCCCCTCCCAAAATAACTTTGTAAAGAAAATTATTTTTATTAGCAGTTTACTTTTGATTTTAAAAGCATTTTCTTGTCACATGTAGCCATCTCCAGATAACAGCATTAATATAAGTTTATAAGAAACAGCTTGCTTTTGACTAGGAAAACAAACCAATCAATGAAGGAGCCGCAGCAATCAGAAAAGTGATGGCAATCAAAGAGGAAGTTTTCTCTCTGTTTTAGATCTATATCTCATTATAGTTTAATCATCATCCTTATTTATTTTTAATTCATTAAATATAAAAATTACCACATTAAAGCTGGAATATGTTCTTATTGCCAAAGAATAAAACAAAGAAAAGGAAAGAAAAAATGATTTATGTAAACTCCCAAGTGTTCAGAAATTTGAATAGATCCAACTTTATAATCTACACCAAAGGCCTGGTGCACAAAATTCGTGTCCTCAGAGGTGGTCCTCAGCCTGGCCTGCACCTTCTCGCAGTCTGAAAGACCTTGGGGGATGTCCAACTGCCGGCAGTCTGACATCCTTAGCACTGCCGAGGAGGTAAGAGAGGCTCCCACCACTGCCTCTGCATTTGCCAACCATGAACCAGCTCAAGGCTTCTGGCTGAGCAGTGCTCCCCCTGTGGAAGAACACTGACCACCAGGGGGAAGCTCTTGTGTTGAGTGTCTGCCCCTTGATGGTCAGTGTGCATCATAGCGACCGGTCATTCTGCCATTCAGTCAATTTGCATATTAGCCTTTTATTCTATAGGATAATTCTACAATATTTGTGTTTCCTTTTTATTCTTTTTTCTTCTATTGCTGGTTTAGCAAATTTGTTTTCCCCCTTTAGATTTACGGTAAGTGCTAATTGTTACACTGATGCACCAAGGTCCCAGAAAAACTGCTGTGACTTCAGTGGAATAGACTGTCTCCAGTTCCGAGAGCGAGCATACTTTTCACAACCCAAGCTCTTTAGCACCCGGAGAAGGAGTTGCAAAGGGGAGGTCCACTGTAGGTTTGCTCAGTTCTCATCTTTCAAAAACATGTTAAAAATAAAAATAAATGAAGAAGAAAAGGAAGAGAGGAAGAGGCAGAAAAAGAGATAGAGAAGGAGTTGGGGGAGGGTTACTATGTGTGTTACAACTGTGTTTGCAACATATACTACTTTTATTATTCAGAGGCAGTATATGAAAATTAAAGAAAACACCACAAATTATATTACAATGATATAGTAGAAAAGCCTTAGAAAATTTAATTGGATCCAATTTTACCACTTACTGGTTATGTGAACAAGAAAGAAGCTAATCTCTGAGTCTTAGTGCATAATCAGTAAAAGGGGGATAATAACAACCTGTGTCCCTGGGGTGATATTTCGCCAGTGAGAGTTGAATGAGATAACATATATGAAAGTGCTTTATAAACTGTGATATTCTAAAGATACTTGTTTGTGGCTTTTGTTATGGTTTGTTGTGAAAGTAAATGCATGCTTAAAGGGAATCAGATCAATGGATTTATTAATAAACCTTTGCTTATAAACATTCATTGCGTTTATTCTTGGATTGCTTGATAAAATATACATTAATTACTTAAGTTATTGATATCATTATTTCCTCCCCCTTTTTTCTTTTTTTTTCTAAATTTTATTTTATTGTTTAAAGTATTACAAATAGTAGTACATATGTCTCCCTTTTTTCCCCATTGACCTCCCACCAGCCTCCCCTACCCCCAGCACATGCCCTCACCCCCATCCTCAGTGTTTTGCGTCCTTGGATGGGAGACCCCTTTTTTTTCTTTCATACCATTAAGAGGACAAATATACTGACTCAAGTACTCACTGTCATTCACTGCCAGGATATTAATTTAGCAATGACTTTGTATGTAGGCAGCATTTCGAGTTCACACAATCCCTTTCTAGATTTTGTAAGAAAGCTATATAATTCTAAAAATGAATAATTCTTTAGAAATAATATATGCATTGCTTAGAGAATAATATATATGTATTAAACCCTTTAAAAATTCACAATAGTGTTCCAACACTATTAATAAACTGCTTTTACTTAAACACCCAATTCTTCCTCACACAAGGCTTTAGCATACTTACCGGTTTGCTGATTTCTTGAGAGGACCTGTCTTTAGTCTCTAAGTTTCAGTTGCTTTGCTTTGCCTCACAGTGGAAGGGGGTACTTATGTTCTTCAGGATGCTAGCCATTTTGATGGAAAGACTGACTTCCCACTAGTGTTACCATGAAAACATTCTCCTCAGGAAATCAGATTTCCATCCCTGGTACACTCAGGCTAATGCAAACAGACGAAGCCAGTAAACCTCTGCCCTTTTAAGTCCAGCAGCAGGACTGCAGCAATTGGTCACAAAGAGCCCACTTGGCTGCCCAAAGCATCAGTATTGCTTACCCATCCACTAAGAAATAG